AGCGCTGCCTCCATCATAGAGCGGCAGTGTCCGTGAGGTACATAGTGCATGTCTGTACCTTCTCCTCATCATCTTCGATCTCCATGCACTCGAAGTACCGCTCCATGTGCCAGAAGAAGTTGTCAATCTGGCGCGCATTCCTTGCCCCATCGTACTCCTTGGGCTCCGGCGCCTTCTTCTTCCTTGGCTTCACCACGACCTCGCGTGCCTAGGAGAACTCCTTCTTGCACTCGGCAATCTCCATGCGCAAGTCGTCTACCTGATCATACAAGTCCCTTTCCTTCTCTCGCGCCTTGTTGGCAATGTCGTTAATCAGCTCGTAGAATTCCGCCATCTTTCTCTCGAGCCTGTTAAACTTAGTCTCCGTGTAGACCAAGTGTGTGGCAAGCTTCTCCTCCAAGCTCTGCTCCAAAACGTGGACTTGGTGGTCTCCTCCGCTAGCCATGTCTACTCCAACAAAGCTCCCTTGACGAACCTGGCTCTAACACCAACTGTCACGGGCTTAGAGTTTCAGCACCACTCTAGCTGCTCCCGTGCGGCACCAAGACGTTGCTTCCACTCACGCAAGTACTTGGTCAGCCTAACTCCCGTGCACACCTTAGCCAACACACTCCACTCGTGCGCTTACTAGTGTTGTGGTTGCCCTCACCCTCTCCTCACTTGGCTTGCACACTCACACACACTAAGGCACTTAAGTTGGCAAGGAAAGAACACTTCTATTACTTCAAAGAATGCTTTGTACAAGGCTAACACTCAAGCTCTCTACAAGGCTCTCAAGACTCACTCTAGGACTTGTTGCCTACAAAATGAAGTCCTACCTCTATTTATAGGTATCCCCATCCCCAATGGACGGCTAGGATGCATTCTAACCAACGGTGGAGATCGATTCTCTAAAATCTTCTCCCACCTTCTTCACACTTCCATACTTATCTACTAGTATCTACAACATTCTAGAATTCTCCATACTACTCCACACAACTCTGGAGAACTCTAGAACCTTTCACACACTTCTACACATTTCTACACATATCTAGAATCTTCCACATAACTCTAGACTATTCCTGAAGACTCTAGAAACTCCACTTGCCATGCAGCGTCCTCCTCAGCGTCTGCGTGTCGCCTGCGTGGCACAACCTCCATAGGCGAGGCGTGACACTAAGGCCTAAAAATGAGCACAATCGTTAGAATAATTGAGAATACAAAAAGCTATTTGTATAATCTATTGCACACATTCACATCATAAAGTTGGATAACAAAGGCAATAGACCCTTTTTTTTATTTATTTTTAAATAATATTAATAATAATAATAATAAAAATAAAAAAATCCACACTCGTTTTTGACAATAAAACCACAATAATATACTTCAAAAATAAGTGCAGTGCTACTCAAAATGAGGATTGATATCCAATTTCACAAAAATATCAACAATTTTTTTAATTTGCGAATAAAAATTAATAAGTGCAGTGCTATAAGGAGGATCGGTATTCAAATTTACAAAAATATCAACGAATTTTTCAATTTGCAAATAAAAATTAATACTATCTTAAATTTTCAGCAACTATTATTACCATCCGATTAGGGTTTAACATTCACATGACGTGCTTCCAAAATGGTCTTATAATAAGATGGAAAAAAGATTTTCGTGACATTGCTAGGAGGGGGTTAGCGGTGGCTGGCGCTAAACGACATAACAGAAGCCGCGCACATTAGTGAAGATCAACGCAGGGGAAAGGGCAAAAGACAACCACATTCACATACTCACCTCACTTTCAGAGTCAGCAACAACCGTATTCAGAATCCGATGACGGTGGCGACATGGCTTCTTTTCCCTTGCGCCTCGGATCCTCCTCCGTCAGTACTGCTGTTCCGGCTGCCTGAAATGATGCGCCTGCAGCACAGCTCATGCTACAGCAACCTTCGTTTACCACAGGGACTTGCAAAACCCTAGCTACCTGGTTCGAGCTCGACTGTCCGGGTTGGAAACTCTTCATGAATTCGAAATTGTTCCTCTGATAGGCCTCTAACTCAGCCACAGCGGCCGGAACAATCACCGTGGATGGTGGCTGCGGAGGAACCACCGTGGATGGCGGCGGAGGAACCACCGTGGACGGCGGCGTGTCAAACGGCCCACTATACCGTAGATTAGCGTAGAAGTCTCTGTAGCGCAACAAAGTGGCCGCCTCATCTTGGTGTAACAAGAAATTAGTGATGGATTGTCTGAATTGGCCATCTCCGGCTTCAGCGTTTTGGTACAGTATATCTATGAAGTATGGTTCAGCCCTGTTTATTCACATACGCAGATAACTCGATAGTCTCGATACAAAAACTATATATATGTGTGTGTGTGTGTGTGTGTGTGTGTGTGTGTGTGTGTGTGTGAATATATACAGATTACAGAGTGAGAGAACACAAAACAAGGGTGGAAAACTTACGATTGTGATTGATTTGGCCTTCTTGAACCCGTAAGTGTTTGAATTGATCGAATTCGATCCATTTTGAAATACAGAACACGCTGATACAATTAAACAAAGCACATAATGAAGCAGAATTTTCAGCCTAGTCAAAGAAGGAATCAAACATCTCTCTAAACGGAGCCACTTTTTTCTCACTCTAAAGCACCGATTCTTCTATCCATCTATATATATATATATATATATATATAAAACTTCTCAACACCTCACTCTAAAGTTTTTTTTTTTTTTTTTTTTTCTCTCTCTCTCTCTCTCTCTCTCGTAAAGGTAAATTTTCAATTTCAAATATATAAATAAATAATTACATAGGCCCATATAGCCCATTTAGCCACAGGCTGAGAAACAAACATTCAGTGGCCCAAGATATCATCCAAGGCCCATGAAAAACTTGACAACCCAACAAAGTGACACAATCAAACACATGGCTACTAGCAAACATAGGCAACCATGGATGGACTAGGATCACCTCCAGTCCCACATTGCCCCATTTGCTCCATTTTGGGTCAATGAACTGTGTTTACCATGTTTGGTTAAAAAATATATTTTTGTAATATAAAATTTTTGTGTATATATGTATATACTGTTAAAGAATACACTCTTTTTGTTCCCTCCCTTATTTCTTCTTCCTCTTCCCTCCCTCATTTCAGGCGCCATTTGAAATAGAAATCAAATCCAGCCACTAGCCTTCTTCTCTCCCAAAATATGAATTAAGCCATTTTAAAAATTTATTTCTTTCCAAATAGAATCCGGAAGTAGCGATTGTTGTGTGAATCAACCCAAAATTTAAATGTTACAAATTGTTTCCAAATAGAGGCAGCACTTCTATCAATCGTAATAAAATTGCAGATTATGATTTCCTTCCAAAAACGAAGCAGCAGTGTATTTCCAAAGTTAAGCAGAAGTGTATTTCCAAATCGAAGCAGGAGATCGCCTTATTTCCAACCCTAAGCAGGTACGATTCATAATTTCGAGATTTGATTTTGAAGGAAATCGTCTTATTTCCATAAGAACTGAATGGCTGAAACAAATATAATGAGTAAGAATATATAGACACAATTTTGGTAAGAAACCCAGAAATAGAAAATTATTGGTGAATTTGAATTGATCGCTATTTTATTGTGCAGTTATTGGGGGTTTTAATGTTTGTTTGTAAAGATAAAAACTGAGAGAATTTGTAAGGTACATGACTGGCCGGAAAAGAGTATTTCAGAGTGTTACAATGTTAAGAAAATGTTTGGTCGTTGGGCTTGCATCGCAACGTTTTCCTAATTTGCATCCCAACTTTCTCCTAATAAGCATCCCAAATTCTTCCTTATCTACATTCCAATATTTCTGTAAAGTGAGTCACAACATTTTCCTAAGGTATATCCTAAAATTTTCGTAATATAAATCCCAAAGTATTTGTAAAGTATATCCCAAAATTTTCCTAATGTAAATCCCAAAGATTTCGTAATTTACATCCCAACTTCTTGAAAAGGTACATCCTAAATTTTTCCTAAGGTGAGTCCCAACTATTTTGTAAGGTGAATTCCAATTGTTTGCTAACGTAAATCCCAAATTTTGAGTCATATTAATCCCAACATTTTCACAAAGTATATGTGAAATTAGCATCAGTGGGTTGGACATATATGTTCTGTTGAGGCAACAAGGATTTTTATCCTCATTTGTATGGGATATAATTGATTGATACATGCAAAGAAATGAATGAGATGTATGTCAAATTTAATTTCTCATACATGTGAAATGGTTTTTTATTTGATTGGTCATACATGTGAAAATATTTTGTATTTGAGCCATTGAGATGAAACATACTTGGGATGTAGAAGTAAAATTATTTTTTGTTAATTCAATATTTTGTGCATATGTGAGAAAAGGTTTTGTATTTGAACCGTTCAGATGGAGGGTGAAGTAAACAATATTCAAGACACAACAAACGGACGAAACGTTCCTATTATAGAACCGGAAGTGATTAAATGGAAACTAAGGTATAAAATGGAGTTTGACAGTGAGGAAAAGGTATATGATTTTTACAATGCATATGGTGATCGAATTGGTTTTAGCATCCGGAAGGAGCATTAAATAAAGTTAATGAAAGAATTACATCAAGAGCGTTAGTTTGTAGCAAGGAAGGTGTGAAGGGGACTGACAAACGGAATGTGTTTAGAAAGACTCCCCGGCTGAAACACGAACCAATTACGGTGCACGAATAGTTCTTAGATATGACAAGACAAAGGCAAAGTACGTAGTTTCTAAATTTGTTGAAAGTCACAACCATCCATTCATAATTGCTTAATGCAGCCACATGATGTTGTCCCAGCGACAAATTTCCTCAGTCCAGGCCATCGATGTTGAGTTGGCTTCAGATTCAGGAGTTCCGACTTGTAATGCACAGAAGTTAATGGGAAGGCAATCTGGTGGAAAAGAATCAGTTGGGTACTTGAAAGTGGATCTTAAAAATTATCTAAGGACGTGAAGACAAAATGAGCTTCTTTATGGAGAGGCGGCATGCCTTGTGGATTATTTTGAGATGCGTGCTTGTGAAGATCATTTGCTCTTCTATTCCTTGCAACTGGATACTAAGCAAATGATTACGAACATATTCTGGTCAGATTGTAGAGTGATAATTGATTATGGCCATTTTGGAGATGTTATCAATTTCGACACAACATACAAAGTGGTACACGGCAACAGACCATTTGTAATTTTCTTGGGTATGAATCATTACCTGGAGACCGCTGTGTTTGGACCAGCCTTAATGTATGATGAGACAGCGGATTCATTTTTCTGGTTATTTGAAACGTTCTTGAAAGCGATGGGCGAAAAAAACGCCAAAGACGATTATTACGGATCAAGACTCTGTAATGGCAAAGGCATTAAAGTAGGTGAATAACTTTCATACATCTCCATTCTTGTCACTTTCATGCTGAAACAATCGTATTATTTCAATTGTATTTTTTGGATTTGCAATATTGCAACACGAGTATTAAGTTAATTAATCTTGCAGGTCATGCTGGTGGCGAAGCATTATTTATGTGTTTGGCACTTAATGAATAATGCACAGAAGAACCTACTGTTTCTATTTAAATACGTTGAAGGAATAAAGAAGGTCATCTCAAAATTAATGTTCCAAATTGAGGAGGACGATAATTTTATCAGGGAATGGGATTTAATGATTGCAGAACATGGTGTTGCTGGTAATAAGTGGCTTTCCACTTTGTTAGATTTGAGACATAAATGGGCCCTGGCATTTGTCAAACACGACCGGTCTGCAGGAATGAGTAGCACGCAATTGAGTGAAAACTTCAATGGTCAATTGAAGTATTACCTTTCTAGACAACTTATTCTACCAGAATTCTTCACACACTTTGACAGATTATTGTCGGACAAGCAGTACAAGGAGTATGAAGACGAGTATGGCTTGGTGGAGAGGCAACCGGAACTAAAAACAAAGTGTCACATATTACGTCAAGCGGGGAAGGTGTACACCAAGGTAATATTTCAGCTTTTCCAAGAGGAGTTTTTAGCTGCTCCGGCGAGTCAGGCTGTTATTAGTTGCAATGACTTGGATAACAATGGACACTGTATTTATAAAGTTACTGGTGAGGACGGGGTGCAACATCGTGTGAGTAGGACATTTGAAGATGAATTATCATGCTCATATTGTAAATTTGAAAGAGAGGGTTATTTGTGCAAGCACAGTCTGAAAATCCTTAAAGACTGCATGTTTATGAATGAATTGCCTTTACGATATATAATAAAAAGGTGGACTAGAAATGCTAAAGATGGAAAGTTGGAGGAAATTGTTTCCACCGACGTGAATCCGGATCCTCAACTTGAGATTAGGCGACGGCATAGGACACTTTGTTGTATACTGACTGAAATATCTTCCATTGCATCGCACGAGCGTGGATGGTGCTCAATCCTTAGTGGATGGTGCTCGATACTGGAGGTGGGGCACGAGACCTGGGAGCATAACCTTTCAATTAAATCAACTCTTTTATTTCTGACGCCTCATGCTCGAGCTTAAGGGTCAAGGCTCGAGCACCCTTACTTAAGGCTCGAGCACCCTATGGTAAGGCTCGAGCACCAAGGTACAAGGCTCAAGCTTTTGGGCCTTATTGACTTTTCTTCTTTTCTTTGCTGTGATGCTCGAGCCTTAACACTTGGGCTCGAGCTCTAGAGCTTGAATTTCTTCAAACTTCACCATTTAAGCTCTCAGCTTACTCTGAATGACCGGCAACGAGTCTGTAAGCTTCGATATCATCATAAAGTTCTAGTTTTAACCATTTTCTGGGAAATTACTTATAAACACACATTAAACATAAATTAGCCTAATTATGGATAGAAGTATCACTTTAGGCCTTAACATATACGTATTTAAGGGTTCGAATATGCATATATTCAGTGCTTATCACACCCCCAAACTTACATATTGCTAGTCCCTTAGCAATACAGAACTAAAAAGCCACTTTCCTGGAAATCACAGTTGCATTTAGCCCTATACAACAAGCCTTTAAACCCCTAGGTTATCCCTAGTGGATGAGTTGTAGCTTTGTGAGGGTTTTCAGTGAAGATACCTACAAACTTCTCAAATTAGTGCCTTAAATGCACAGTAAGCTTATTCAAGCCTATTTTCAAATCATATCATCCCTACAGTTCATTAATCAGTCAAATACAACAAGTTTACCACTCATATAATCAAAAAAACTTTCAACTTCCAATTTCAATTAAGCAACCATAGTCCCCACATATCAGTTTAATCATTTATTTAATAATCTTAATCTCTAAAACACTTTTTGAAAGTGATCCTACAATTCATCATGTGGCTTACTGTCCATACTTGCATTTCTTCCTTACTATTCCTCAATTCATAAGCAGACTCTTTAAATTTCAACTCCCAAGACATTTTTACTTTTTTCTGGGTATGCATTTTTTTCAAAAAGGATACTGTGCAATATTCAAGTTTATTAAGCTTTCTAAATCACCCTTGTAACAAACTTTCAGCCAATGACTCCCAGACCAGATGGCCTTAGGGCATTAAGTGTTAAAACACCCCTTAGGACTTAATTGTTCAAGTAATCTAGGCAACCTAAACCCCTTATGTAACAAGCTTTCAGCCAATGACTCCCAGACCAGGTGGTCTTAGGGCAATAGGTATCAGAACACACCCCTAAGGACTTAATCACTCAAACAATCTAAGTACAAACCTAAACTTGTTCATTTTCTACTCTCTTTTTTTTCTTTGTTTTTCATCATATTTTTTCATTTTTCATTCACATTGGTAAAGAAAATTTTCTTTTGTTGCTTTGCATACATACCAAATTTTTCTGTGTTTTCTTTTTTTTCTTTTTTCTTTTTTTATGCCTTGGTTATCAAAATTATTAAACTACCTGATCATCTCAATCTAACTCAAAACAAAACAAGACTTCCAATTTCTACCCCACAGAATTGATGCAAGTGTGAATATGTACAAAGTGTAACATCTTAAAGATCAACATCATTAAACAACAATCATCCTAACAAAGTGAACCACAAGCCACCAACTAATTTTAAAAAATTTCAAGTAATCCCTTTCACAGTAATTTAGCATACAAATCATTTCCAACCAACATTAGACTGCAAACAGAGTATATAACAATCAACAGACTCAAACACATGCTTATATTATCAAATATCAAATCATATCCTTGTATACACAAAAATTTAAAATTAATATTTTTCAACACAAACACAACCTTACCCCCAAACTTAGTGTGCACATTGTTCTCAATGTGTGAGAACAAATGAGAGTAAAAAAGATATTACCATACAAGTAGACCAGCAAAGATATGACAAAATACTGCACAGATGGGTAAAAATAAGTTTTCAGTATCGTCTCCTTCAACATAGTGGTTCTTCTCAAAATCACCCACAAACTTAATTTGTTGTATCTGGAAAAATCAATAAACTCTAACACATATCAGAGAATAATATCACAATGAACTATAATATCAACACAAGGAGAACAGAATAAAAAAACATATATATATATATATATATATATATATATATATATATATATATAAAATCAGAACAATGCTTTTAAAGGAAAGACTTAGGGCAGATATACATCATATGGAAATAAATACAGCAAACAGACTGCCCTAGTCAACAAATATAGAAAGGTCCTAAAAACTAATCCATAGGTGGTGGTGGATCGAAAGAAGTGGATGGAATGGACGGAGTGCAGCGAAGTAACTCCTCCAATATGCTTTGCTGCGCAATCAGCATCTGTCATAGCACCATCTAACTATCCTGTAGCTCGGCCATCCTGGCATGTAAAGCTTTAATCTGAGCTTGAGAAAAACTCTCAGGCTGGGCTATAGGAGCGGGTTTCCTCCTAACCTGAGGCCTAGAATCGGAGAGATCCATCTCCTTATCCGTAGCCTCATCATCATCCTTTCTCCGAAAAGTAACTGTAACATAACCCTCGTTACCAAACTCTACTGCATTGCGGCGATGCGCTGGCATATGCCTCCATACCTTATCTCATTCCTTCATTCCAAACTGCAGAGATTCATTACAAGATTCCTCTAGATGACCTATCACAAAACCTTGTCGCTCTAATATCCTGGTAATCAGATATGGAAAAGGAAGCGCATGTGTAGGAATATCCTTATGCGATCCAATCTCAGACCAAAACTCCAGTAGCTGGCAAAAAATCATCCTAGGGAACTAATAACAATACTCAAACTGAATAGCAAAGGGCCTGGAGAAAGTCAGTATTCCTAATATTCTTATGCCCAAGAGGATGGACATTAGCTGAGATTATAGAATCGAGAATCCACAACCTCTTGGGAATTTTAGCTTCGGTAGTACTACTACGCTTTCTCTTGGCAAACCTACCATCACACAATTTTTTAATCAGATTTTCTGCAATTGTCACCCTAGGAAAAAATGTGAAAGTATGACAGCTATGCCTCTCATCTATTACCTCAGGAAGCATATTATAACATTCTAAAGCTGCAGCAATAGCATCGGGATTAATAATTAACTCGTGCCCATCTATCTTAGTCCTAAGTTCCCAAAGGTCATCCTCACTATAAATCAGATTTAGGTATAACAAACGAAATAGACGAGGATATGCAACCTGAGTAACAGGGACCATGAGATGCAAAAGATGCCTGTAACTGAAGGATTTCATAGCCTATCTAGTGCGAGGATCATTGATGAATGCCCAGTAATCAAAGGTCATTTCATAAGAAATTGGAATTGTCTTCCAAGCACTTGGCAACACATCTTTCATCCCTCTAGCACGCTTAGTAGAAGTAGGACGAACCATCCTCAATAAAATCCCTAAAAACACCCAGAATTCTCCAGCACACGCAATCTGTTAATTGAGGCTCTAGCTTTTACCGTTCGAGCTCGAGCTTCAACCAATGCTAGAGCTTCAACTTGCTAAGCTCGAGCCTTACCTGGATTTTAGAAAAACATATCTCAAATCTCAGAGTATGAATCAATCAAAAGTTGATCTAAACAAGGAGTTTATGTGGATGATGTAGAACAGAATCCTAAGAATCATGTATTCAAAGAATAACTCGTACCCTCTTTTATTAGATCTAGAAAATTAATGAACTCAGGAAATTCTATTTGAAAGAGGAAGAAGAAATAGAAGTTTACCTCTATATTTCCTACAAATCTGGAATAAAAATGTGAATTAGCATTGATTATGAATAGCAAGAGAACTTAGAGAGCTTATATAAAGAACCATGGCTTTCCTTTTTGTTCTAGGCGACGGAGTACTCAGTTTCCTTATTTTAAAACTTTTAGTTACTCAAGCTCGAGCATTAAGGGTATGAGCTCGAGCCTGCCGCCATCAATTTCTAACTTCACGATGATGGAAAACTCGAGTTGTGGGTACTGATGCTCGAGCTTGTAACTGGTGATGCTCGAGCCTCAACTTTCAGGTTCGAGCATTATGACAAATTTTTGGTTTTTGCGGATTTTTTGAATTTTTATTTTCTTTTTCCTTTTTCAACCTAAAGTTAAACTATAAGCAAAATGAAATGAACCTAAAAATTACTAAAATCTAGAAAAATAATTAAATCACAAATGAAAATAAATATGTAATAAAACTACGCTACAACATACAAATGCTTAGTTTAACGTCGATAGCTGGACAACATGCTAAGTTTAACGTCAATAGCTTGACGAAAACCTAACCTTTCTAGTCTAAGTAAATAGGATCATGAAGCTCTACTGCCTCGACTGTGCCTCTCTGCACACTACCCTTTATGTAGGGTTTAAATCTCTATTGCACCATAAGGTATAATAGAAATAACCATGTATGGACCTTCCCAACGTGACTTTAACTTTCCAGGAAAAAGTTTCAGTCGTGTGTTAAACAACTAAACCTTCTTCCTAGGCTCAAAAGTCTTGCACAAGATATGCTTGTCATGAAATGCCTTAGTCTTTGCTTTGTAAACCTTAGCACTCTTATAAGCATCATTACGTAATTCTTCGAGCTCAGTTAATTAAAGCTTCCTGTTAGAACCAGCAAATGTCATATCGAAGTTGAGCTTTTTTATGGCCAGAAAGCTCTGTGTTCTAACTCTACAGGAAGATGGTACCCTTTACCATAGATAAGACAATAAGGTGACATACCAATTGGAGTCTTATATGCTGTTCGGTAAGCCCATAAAGCATCATTCAGTCTAAAAGACCAATCTTTACGA